CTTTTTGGCCAATTCTCTATTTGTACAAATGTTGAACTCAACAACATTATGATCTCTGTTCCCAAGTGGTGCAATCACTTTTTCATCTCTCACCAGGTCTTGAGTGTTACTTAGGACCAAATCAAGGATTGCCTCTCCCCTGGTAGGTTCCATGACCATCTGCTCCATAGCACAGTCATTTAGAGTATCTAGAAACTCAATCTCTTCTTCTCGACTAGAACACATATTGACCCAATCAATGTGTGGGTAGTTAAAATCACCTATTACGACACAGTGTTTTTGTCTAGCTGCTATCTTGAATTCATTCATCATTTTATAATCCTCCTCTATCTTTTGATCTGGTGGGCGATAACAAACTCCCAGTGTTAAGTTTCCTTTTGGCCCCTTATTTCAACCCATAGAACTTCCAGAAGCGAATCCAGTTCTCTTAGCCTCTCAATCTTTCTGGACTTTATACCCTCTCTGACATACAGAGCCACCCCACCTCCAACCCTTACTCCCTATCCTTCCGATATAATATATAACCGGGAATCACCGTATCGCACTGATTTTCCTCATCCCACCAAGTTTCTGAAATATGTCTATTTTTCCCTCCGACACCAAGCACTCCAACTCCCCGATTTTACCTCAGACACTTCTAGCATTTGTATAGAAACAGTGTAATTTCCAGTACAAGTTAAGCCTGCAACCTTCCTCTTGCTATCTCGAGACCTTGTCAGGCAGTCCATGTCACTAGCCATGGTCTCAGTGGACAATTTCAATCTACCTCCCTGTAGAAAAGCGTGCGATGTGATGTCAGGTGTAGCTTCTTTTGCGGTCCTTGCCATCAAGAAGTAATTCCTCTCACCAGCCGTAAGAGGAGGGTAGCTGTGGTCCTTGTGGTGCTGGGAGGATCCATAGCAAACTTCCTGTTGCTGCCGTCTTGTTTATAGTTCAGTGAGGAATGTCCTTTGCCCGTCTCTTCACCCAGGTGAGATTCCTGCCCCGAAAGATCTGCAGTTTGTGGATGTCACAGACGTCAAAATCACCATCATGTGGAATCCCCCGGAGAGCACCGTCTCTGGCTACCGAGTGGAAGTGATCCCCGTCAACCGCCCGGGCGAACACGGGCAGAAGTTGCCCGTGACCAGGTACTCCTTCGCAGAGGTCACTGAGCTGTTACCTGGGACGACCTACCTCTTCAAGATCTACGCCCTGGCACAAGGCAGAGAAAGCAAACCTCTCACTGGACAGCAAGTGACCAGTAAGTGCACTTCCTCTACAGCTACTCAGTGTCGTGCTCTCTAGTCCTCACGCCTGAAGTGCCGCCTGGGCTAAACCGCCTCACGCTGCAGAGGAGGAGGGCTTGTGCAGCCGGGGTCCCTCCACGCACTTGGATTTCATGCACATAGAAAAAAAGGATGTTAGTGAAAAGGCAAGGCTAGAACCTCCCTGGCATGACCGTTCCCTGTGGGATGGGATTTTTAGGGCACGGAGAGGCAAACACGAATCCCTCTCTATGTGGTGTAGCCAGACATGGGTTCCTTCCTCAGTGAAAACTCTGCCCAAGTGTCTGTGTGCATTGCTGCCAAAAGCCCTCCCCCCAATTTCTGAGACCATTCTTTGTGGAGATTTGGCTGTTTGTGCTTTTGGGCAACCATTTTTTCCAGGTGAGGATTAAAAGTCTGGGGGAAGCCCATTCACTTGGCTAAGAAAGTGTGGGCAGGAGTTTGCCTGTGTCTCAGTGCCTGGCAGCTTACGGATAAGTAGAGAGGTGTGAGGGTGCTCCTTGCACGAAGTGTGCCAGCCCCTGCTTTTGTCTGTGGGAGCCGCCCCTGCCCCCGATGGGGTGGGCCCCCCTGAGGAGGTGCGGGGGAGGGAGGCAACATCTTGAGAGGTTTCCAAGGAGGCTCTGCCAGGCTGTTTCAACGGTTGGGGGGTCTTAACGAGGTGTCAGCTGCCGGCATTTTTTTTTGCGGGGGGGGGGAAGGGTTGTTACTTTGGGCTTTATTGTACTTCATGTGTTTTAAGATCTGGAACTGTGAGCTGCCTGGAGCTGCCTCTTATGTGCTAATAATGAAACCAGTAAACAGTCTGGATAGGAGAACCAAAGATTTAGAGGAGTTGTTTGATTCTTCCTTCAAGGACTCGATGGCCCAACCAACTTGCGGTTTGTCAACGAGACCGATTCCACCGTGCTGGTGACGTGGAGGCCCCCCCAGGCCCACATCACAGGCTACGTGCTGACGGTGGGGCTCACGAGAGGCGGGCAGCCCAAAAAGCACACTCTGGGGCCCTCGGCCCCCAGGTACCTGCTGAGGAACTTGCAGCCCGGCTCCGAGTACACCGTGTCCCTGGTGGCCGTCAAGGGCAACCAGCAGAGCAGCCCCGAAACGGGGGTCTTCTCAACCCGTAAGTGTTTTTGTGGTTCTTCCTCCACTCCGTCAGCTCTTTCCTGAAAGCGGTACTTCAGTGATGGTCTCAGGCCCAGGAAACGAAATCTGCATTTGTTGTGAAACGGTGTGAGGTTCTGGCTATAGTATCAGTGTTCTAACAAAAATCTGTGGGGACGTCTGCCCGTTTCATTCCATGTCCTAAGGTTTCTCTTTGTCAAAGAGTACCCAGCGTTTACTGGTAGTCCCAACGAAGAGCTGTAAAGAGTTTCTGGTTGCTGCCTAACCTTTGTTGGGATTTCTGGCCTGTTATTCCTTAAAGGGGAGAAGAAAAGGGAGGAACGGGACTCAACCCAAAATGTAGCTGCGATCTAAGAGGGCCAAGCTAACATATAAATTATATAAAGATACAAATATTTATGAGGGTGTACACATAACTAAAACACACATACGGTTAAAGGAAATAGTCTAGATATCAGACTCTTAAAGCTTATTACATTCAGAGCTGATAGTTATACATGCCCAATTGATGGGTAAAACGTTTGACCAAGAGACCATACGCGTTTCGGCCCCTTTGGTCAATTTTTTTTATTTTGCAATAATACACATCCAGAAATACATGCACAAAGTGACACACATCCTGACGAATGGGATATCTATGGCCCACTATACAAACTTGTAGCAAATGCAAAGCATAGAAGACAGAAACATCTGGTCATATATATATGTATGTATGTATGTATGTAATTCTTTATGCATGTATTTCTGGATGTGTGTCATTGTAAAATAAAGAATATTGACCACTGGGGAAGGCCCAAAGGGGCCAAAACGCATATGGTCTCTTGGTCAAACGTTTTACCCATCAATTGGGCATGTATAACTATCAGCTCTGAATGTAATAAGCTTTAAGAGTCTGATATTTAGACTATTTCCTTTAACTGTATGTATGTTTTAGTTATGTGTACACCCTCATAAATATTTGTATTTTTATATATAATTTATGTTAGCTTGACCCTCTTAGATGGCAGCATTCCTTCAAGAGGGTCAATAAGCTTTGCCTTCATCCTACCCAGCAGTGACAAGTTCCACAAAGATCAATCTTGACAGATGCACCTTTGCAGGGTGAAGCACTGTCCCAAAAGCCATGTGGTCTCGCCATGGAGCAATAATTCTATTAAGAAACCACGTACATTCATAATACCAAGAGGCAGCAGCGTTGCTGCCTTCCCCGAAGGAACACTGTGTTGAGTATTGTAGAGAGATGACGGGCTGGGATCCTGAAAAGCATTTCCACTGAGGGTGGGATTTCCACCTGTGGAGCGTGACCCTCTTGCCTCCCACTGCCACCCAAAGTGCCACAGCATTTCAGAGGACCATTGGGGACTGCGGCCGGAGGGCGGAGGTGAGGAAGTTCCGCTCCTCAGATGGAAATCCTTCCACACATGGAAACGCTCCTCCGGATCCATGCCGTGATGTCTGCCGTGCAGCCACTTGAACTACATAAGGTGAGGTGCTGCCTGTACCAGGGGGTCCTGCAGTGAAAAGCTCTAGACGTCTAGTCCAGAACTCGATGTTAAGGTCCCCTCTGGGTGCCCCTGCTTGGTTCTTTTCTGCCCGCTGAGCTGGTGGCAGCTCTGTCTTGGTGCTCTGGGGACTCCTCCAGCTTCTGTTGTTCTTTCTTACTCTTTTCCCTGCAGAACGAACGTCCGTGTCGCTTGCTTCCTTTTGCCCAAGTTTTTCTCTTCCTTCTGTCTTTTCTCTTTCCTTTCTTCAGGCTGAGATGAAATGGTCAGAGCAAGCCTTAGGAAATCAGAAAGGAATGTGGGAATGAAGGGGAGACTGTGTGGTGCCAGTGAGTGGGTTCGTTTCCTTTTCAAAACGGGAAATACGGGTTCAGGAAAGAGTATTCATGCTGATTATACATGCTGTATTTGTATGTTTTCTTAAGAAAAGTCCATGCCCATTCCATTGCACAAATCAATAACAATGCATTTTAATATTAAAGCAACACATACAACCCCCAGGTGAGTGCCTGAGGTTTCTTGTGAGGACTGGGGCCAAAGGCAGTTTCATCTCTTGGTCGTGCTCCGTGGGAATTCTCCTCATGGTGTTTTGTTCCACAGTGCAGCGCCTGGGCTCCCTTCCCCCCTATAACACGGAAGTGACGGAGACCTCAATCGTTGTCACCTGGACTCCTGCGCCCAGGATTGGCTTCAAGGTAGGGAATGGCGCCTGGGCCCGCCTTTCCTGCACTGTGACTTTCCACGGCAGCCGTGCAAATGGCTCCAGATTACAGGGTGGGGTGGGGGTGGCGGCACAGAGGTTTGTTTTTGTTTTAAAAAACACCCTAACAAAAGAAGGCCCTGGCCCGGATGGCCCAGGCTAGCGCAGTCTTGTCTGATCTCGGAAGCTAAGCAGGGGGCGGCCCTGGCTAGTATTCGGGTGGGAGACCACCGAGGAAGTCCAGGGTCACTATGCAGAGGAAGGCAGCGGCCAACCACCTTTGTTCATGTCACAGCTCAGGTGGGGGGGTCACCTGGCGCTGCCACCACTCTGGTTTTAGGTTCCCTTGAGAAGACCCAGAGCACCCTCCCAAGACCTTCAGGTGAACAACAAGGAAAAGGTTTATTTTTACAGGAGGTCAGCCCAATATGGGAAACGAACAAGGTGCAAGAACAATATCAATAAGGGGGTGAAGGGAGAAGAGACCAAATGCCCCTAACGCGTCCAAACTTACTGTCCCTAGCTCACTGTCTCAGCTGGGCCTCAATCTGCTCACCCTTCCTCTCAGGGTGAGGGTCTCTTCCCTGCAGCAGCCTTCCCTCTGGCCCTGCTCTCTTGGAAGAAATAACAGCTGTTCTGTCCCAGCTCTTTTGTTATAAGTCCCCTTTCTCTGTGATTGGCTAAAATTGGCACCAAAACCTCTCAGGGGCTTCTGGGAGTTGTAGGCCAGGCCTCCTCCCACTGCAACTCAGGCTCCCTGAGCCTGCTAGGCCTTTGCTTGCACAGCCCAGATCATGACCGTTCGTCTTTTGCCTTGAAAACCCTACGGGGTCGCCTTTAAGTCATCTGTGACTTGACGGCAGTTTCCACCACCACCAAGACGGCCGCACCCAGTCGGGCTAGTGTGCAGCCACAGGTTCCTGTGGGGACTCTCCGCATTAGCAGGCTGGGGGGTGGGCGCTTGGCACAACCCCCCCCCCCGGGCTCTGCACCAAGCAGATTCTTATTCTGGGCCCAGAATGTATAAGGCCGACATGCATCGGGTGGTTTGAGTCGAATAACTGGAAACTAATCCTTGGTGTCTGACATGCTTTGGAATAAGCTGCTTGGAGCCACGGTGGGTCAGAAGACTGGAAGGGAGGTCGATCTGGGACGAAGGGAGGTGGATGCAGGAGATTACAGATCGAGGCCCAAGGGAAGGATCGTGGCGGCAGATAAGCAGCCCCCCATCCTGGCCACACAGCCGCCTCTGAGCCCTGTGGCGCCTAAGACATTTTGAGCATCCCCTGTGCTAAAATGGCCCATTCTTAACCCACGAGACCTTCTGTGATCTTTGCAAAGGGATGTCCTGTTGGGGGAGGTGTGTGGCTTCTTCCCGGCTCAGTGCTCCAGCTGCCAGAGAGGCTGGCCCTGTGGAATGCATTCCTCACGCGTACCCGTGAAAGCTGGAAGACCTGCTTTCTGCCTCTCTCCAGCTATCCACTTCAGAAGTTTCCTCAACAGTCATGAATGGACTGAGGCCCGAGGGGTTGACCCAAAAACCTGCCAGGAGGTTCCTGTTTTGTTTGGCCAGCCCACGCGCCCCTCTAGAACTTCTCAGCAACATCCAGGCTTGCTTTCCCCAAATGTACATCTGAGATGCTCAAATAACTGAGTTTTATTGCCCGAATGTAAATTCTGTGCACGGTAGCTGGCGTGTAGTTATGCAGATCGGAGCTCTTAACAGGCCGGGACCCTGCGAGGAATCGTGTTGGAGGACAGTTTGGAAATGTCTGTCCTCCGAATTCTTGTCATTCCCAGGGCCTTGAGCGGTCTGCATTCTACTTCTTTAACATATTTAGTCCTTGGGTTTTTAGGTTATTTCCTTAAAACAACCAGTTAACGGAGTCGTGATTTTGTGCATCCTCTGGGAGCCCTCTGCATATGTGGAGCTCCTGGGCTTGTCAGCAGAGGGCCCTGGCCGTGTGTGGCTTCTGCGACTGACACGGGAGGCCCAGAGCCGCCCTCCTGTTAGGGAGGAGGGACACCCGGTCCTTCTCCAGGGGTCATAGTGAACGGCTCCCGCTCCCTTGTGCTGCAGCTGGGTGTGCGACCAAGCCAAGGCGGAGAAGCACCGAGGGAGGTCATCTCCGAGTCGGGGAGCATTGTCATCTCTGGCCTGACGCCTGGCATGGAATACGTCTACAGCATCACTCTCCTCACGGACGGCCAAGAGAGGGACGCACCAATCATCAAGACCATCGTCACCCGTAAGACTCCTTGATCCCACTGCACGAGGCTCAGTCATCACCTAAGGCGCAGGCGTGGCCAACCTCACTTAGCGCGAGAGCCACACAGAACAAATGTCAGATGTTTGAGAGCCGCGAGACATGAACAGATATGGCACACCCGTTTTTATTGGCAAATAGGCACATTTGCTGCTTATTAACATTAAATGAGATTGCCAAAAATAAAAACAAAAGGGGTAAAAACAGATATTGATACTGATATTTATTTGTCCAATGAAATTTGTAGGCGGGGGGGGGGGGCTTTGAGAACACTCTGAAAGTTAGAGTCGCTTTCTTTCCCTGCTCCCCCGGCCTCAAGCCTATCCAGGGAGGCGGACACACACTGTGGGACACCCGATGGGGGAGGAGGAGGCGTGCCTCCCCTTCGCTTCCCCGGCTGCCCTGCCGGGAGCCGCACAATATGTGTGAAAGAGCCACATGCGGCTCCCGAACCACAGTTTGGCCACCCCTGATCTAAGGCCAGAGACCCCCCCCCCCTTAGTCATTTACAGAGTCTCACTAAATCCAGTAGGGTCATGTGGACTAAGGAACGTAGGAGCTACTAACGAAATAAATTGGGCAAATCCCTGACTTGAGCCCAGAGATCTGGGCATGTGGGGGAATTCCTGCCACTGACGAGTGACGTGACGGGTGGCTCAGTCCTTCTCCTTCCACGTGCTTTGATGCTACCGGCATTAGGGGTGGGCAGGAGGCTGACCTGGGTTCATGGATGGACCGTGGCTGGAGGTCTGGGAAGCCCCACCTGTGTCGGTCGGTTGGACTCGCTGGACTCGACTCAGCCGGTTCTGGTGCCCGTCCTCCTCAGTGGGAAGGGTCCTCTTGGAGGGCTGCCGCAAAGACCTCTCTGGCTGCCCTTGGCTGCCCTGCCCACTCTGCCAAGAGCCCCCCCCTCCCCAGAGCGCCCTTGTACAGAGAGCCTGCCCACAGGGGAGCCCCGTTGGGGTTGCTAGAGCCTGTCTGCCAGTCACTCGGGCCCAGCGCACGTGGAGTGGGACCCACTTCTCTGGGGCGGTGCTGGAGTGAGCCCCGCCCTGGTAGCGTGAAGGAAACAGGGAAGGTTCTGTTTGGTGTAGTGGTTGAGTGCGCAGACATTCTCCTTCCACGTGCTTTGATGCTACCAGCATTAGGGGTGGGCAGGAGGCTGGCCTTGGTTCATGGATGGACCGTGGCTGAAGGTCTGGGAAACCCCACCTGTGTCGGTCGGTTGGACTCGCTGGACTCGACTCAGCCGGTTCTGGTGCCCGTCCTCCTCAGTGGGAAGGGTCCTCTTGGAGGGCTGCTGCAAAGACCTCTCTGGCTGCCCTTGGCTGCCCCGCCCACTCTGCCAAGAGCCCCCCCCTCCCCAGAGCGCCCTTGTACAGAGAGCCTGCCCACAGGGGAGCCCCGTTGGGGTTGCTAGAGCCTGTCTGCCAGTCACTCGGGCCCAGCGCACGTGGATATCCTTAGTGGGACCCGCTTCTCTGGGGCGGTGCTGGAGTGAGCCCTGCCCTGGTAGCGTGAAGGAAACGGGGAAGGTTCTGTTTGGTGCAGTGGCTAAGTGCACAGACTCTAATCTGGGAGAACCGGGTTTGATTCCCCCGCTCCTCCACTCGCACCTGGCTGGATGACCTTGGGCAAGCCGTAGTTCTGACAAGAGCTGTCCTTGAAAAAGAGTCGTTCCTGTCAAGAGCTCTCTCAGCCCCACCCACCTCACAAGGTGTCTGTTGTGGGGAGGGGGAAGGGAAAGGAGTTTGTAAGCCGCTCTGAGACTCCTTCTGGAAGTGAAGGGCAGCAGGGTATAAATCCAATCTCTTCTTCTTCTTCTTCTTCTTCTTCTTCTTCTTCTGTTTACTCTGCACCATCCAGAGGAGCTCTGGGAAGGTGCTGAAGCGTTTCCGGTTCACACTTTGCTTTTCAAGGAAGAAAATGCTGCATTGTCTGGGGAAGTCTTCACTCTTGATTTTGTTTTCCTTCAGCTGTCTCACCCCCCTCCGGCCTGCGCCTGGAGTCTAACCCAGACACTGGGATCCTCACTGTCTCTTGGGAAAGAAGTACAACTCCAGGTATTTTGGCCATACAGTACATCATAGATTACGGTGACTTTGCTTGCTTATCGCTTAATTCATATGCAACTGGTAACCAGGGGCTGTGCAACAAATTTTAGTTTAAACGAACTGTGGTTTTACTGTGAGGCCTTGAATGCCTACACACTCACCTAGAGAGAGAATGTGGGGTTATATTCAAGGGCCCTCTTGGTTTAGTACGTGTATCACCGCGGCATTATGTGGGATAGTCGGTGGGGAGGACTCATGCGCTCTCGGGTTCCGTGAGTATTAGAAGCAGGTACTCTGGGTGGTTCCCACTTATTGGTTAAAATAGACTCATTGTCTCTCTGATGATTGTTCTGCAGATATCACTGCGTACAGGATAACTACCGTCCCTACAAACGGACAGCAGGGTTACACCCTGGAGGAACTGGTCCACGCAGAGCAGACTTCCTGCATCTTTGAAAACTTGAGCCCCGGTGTGGAGTACAACGTCAGCGTTTACACTGTCAAAGACGATCAGGAGAGCGTGCCCATCTTCGAAACCATCACGCAAGGTAACATTCGGGACTGAGCCGTGACTCGGAGTCCTGCAAGCCACCTGGACACGTGGACTCACTTTTCACGGATCCCGTTTACTCAGAAATAGGCCTGTGTTGTTCCCGAGGGGCTTACTTAGGATCAAATCCCAAGATATTGCAGGCAGGGGTAGCTTCTCCACACGCCGCAGAGAGAACAGCTGTCATTTTGCTATGTACCTTATTCTGCACAAGGGGCAGATAAAATGGGCCAGCAGATCTGCCCAAGGGTACCTCATCCAGTGCCAGGGATCCAGTGACTTTTGAGCTGACAGTAGCCGTTTCAAAACAAAGCAAAACACGACAACAACAGTGGCTGCTGGAAAGGCCCCAAGAAGGGTCAGCTGGCCAAATTACGGGGGTTGTGAGGCAAGGCCTACAAGCTGTAGTGCCAACACCCTTCTTTTCTGAAGAGCCCGGCCAGCGGATGACCAGAAACAGATCCTCACCCTACTGAGCCCACAAAATCCACAAGGAGTGAGACGCTTCCGTTGGCCCACCTGGTTCTGTGGTGGGTGTTTGCTTGGAGGTCGGCCCTCCTCTGTGCCGTGGGACCTGGCCGCTGTCGTCCCATGAAAGGGACCTTCTCACTCTTTCTGATGTGCTCCAAAGTACTGGCGTCGAGTGTCTTTTCCAAGCTCTGTTTGTGTTGAGACTGCTCAGTCTGGCCCCCCCCCCCCCCCCGCGTTGTTACGACCCCCCCCCCCGGCGTGGGGGCTGTCCCTACATTTCTGCTCGGCCACAAGATGGTTCCCAGACAGATGCTTGCTGTTAACGTTGCTTGACGTTTCTGTGCTTTGGCCAAGGCAGCCTTTGCCCGGTGGGTAAACTAACGCGCTGGCACGAGCTCTTTCAAGCAATCACGCCTGTCATCTAATGTCACTTTATGAAGGAAAGAAGTACCCAAAAGGGCATCTTTGGAGGCCTTTTTAGGGCTTTTTTAAAACAGGTGATATGCTAATCCCATCCCTCAAAGATAAGTGGCATTTGGGGGGAAATGTGAAACAGGTTTCTTCGGTTCTGCACAGTATATTTTTATAACTGTTTTGTACAACAGGACAAAAGGGGTCCCTAAAACAATGGAAGAAGACGCTTCTAACTCTAGGCCCAGGCTAAATTTCCCATTGGCAAGAGGGTGCCTCCATCAGTGGAACCGGATTCTCCCGCCTTTCCCTCCCACGGCATTTTGGGGAGTCTGCTCCGGGGAGGCTGGAAACCGCTTGGGGGGGTGTTCAGTTGCCTGAGGTGGAGGGAGGGGCAGAAAGGGTCCGTTCTGTGGATGGAAGGGCCTCTTCTCTCTCTCTCTCTCTCTCTCTCTGGAAGCTGGACTTTCGGGGCCAAGCCATTTAATATGGCAGCATAAACAGCAGCGTTTTCCATTGCCTTTCTCAGGTGGTGAACGAAGGGCTCCCTGCTCGTTAACACAGTGTTTTGCCCTGCATTGGGTATACGGCTTCTTTGTCTTTCCACCTTAACTGGCTAATTAGGATAAGTTCCTCCCGTGCTGACACGGTGGTGGGGGTGGGGGTGTTCCTTGTTGCCCCGGTTTGCTTTCCTCGCAGACCTCAAGTGGTCTGTCTGCCTTCTCCTAAAGACAGTTTGCTCTTCTTATATTTGCCTGTTCCCTTCTGGCTGTTGCTCCCTTTCCCCATCACGTGCAGAGGGAGGGCCATTACAGATTTCCAACTCTGGGGAGCCTTCAGACCAAATGAGACGGGCTGTGATGTTTAAGTGCCTGGGGGGGGGGCAGAGAGGGAGTTTGCTTCCTCCCCGCTAACCGGAACGCTCAACCAGCGGTTTCCCACCGTCCTGCTGCACAGGCAAAGGGCTGACCAGAAGGCACGTGGATGCCACCTGTGTCCATCACGGACAGGCAGAGCGGATGTCTGCGGGTGGCTTGCCTCTTCTGCGGCCACACACTGGCCAGCCACCTCTGCTTCTCTCCCGCGTCGCTGGGAGGCTCTGGGAGATTCTGTCCCTGGGACACTGGAGGCTGTGGAAGGAGCTGCCCTGGTTGCTTCAGTGTGATGGGCCTGAAAAGTGGGATGCCACCAGTGTTCCCTCTAAGCTGAGTGAGTGTGAGCTAGCTTGCAGTTTTTTAGCCTCTGTCTCACACATATTTTTGTCTTGGCTCAGGGAGGATGGGGCTCCAGAGCAAACTAATTTATGCAGGAGCCAAATAGCTCGCTCACAACTTTTAATGCCAGTAGCTCACAAAGAAGACTTGCTGCTCACAAGAGATCCACAGCTTAGAGGGAACATCGGATGCCACTAGAATAAGTCCAAGTTCAGAGGCTTGGTTTTGGTCTGACAGACTGAACCAGTGACATTGGTTGGTCTGAGCCATTGCTCCATCTGGTAAAGCACTGAACCTGCCCACACGGCGTGTCCCGCACTAACCAGGGAAGCTGTTAAGAGCTGCAAATGACGTTAGGGAGGAGGAAAGCTTGGAGGCTGGTAAACGTGTCTGCTGCAGCAGAGGACTCAGACTTCAGAAGCGAAATGGAAAGGGTTTGCTGGGCGGCTCTCTGGCACCCCTCAGAGCTCCGTCACCTGGAGACTTTGTTTTTCCCCTGGGCGGGAGCTGCTCCCTCCGGCACACTTATTGTTGGCAGGCGGTTGCGTCAGGTTGAGTGTAAAAGCTTGTAGCTGTCCTGGATGGTGCTTTAAGGGGTTTTGCACCATACCCCCCGCTGATTGCTGTGCGCTGCGAATGGTGTGCTGTTGCCCAGGGCCTCTCACATATCACCGTAATGACTTTGCTGTCGCTTTCATTTTTAATTCACGCAACCTGATGATGGTCACTGCTTTTGTTTCCCCCCCTCTTCCTCTTCCTCCGCCTCCGCCTGCCCCTGCTTCCTGGTGTCTGCTCTCTCTCACCCCGTAGAGGTGCCCCAGCTCACTGACTTGGGCTTTGTTGACATAACTGACACCAGCATCGGCCTGCGGTGGACCCCTCTAAACGCCTCCTCCATTATCGGCTACCGCATCACCGTAGTGGTGGCCGGAGAGAGTGTCCCCATTTTTGAAGATTTTGTGGACTCCTCGGTAGGATACTACACGGTCACCGGCCTGGAGCCCGGCATTGACTATGAGATCAGCGTCATCACCCTCATTAGTGGCGGAGAGAGCGCCCCTGCCACGCTGACGCAGCAAACGGGTGATTGTCGAAGAAGACCGGCCGTGCGGGGGAGAGGGGGCTGCCTCACACCCCCGCCGCTAGCTGCTTGGAGGACTCTGGCTCCCCCCCCTCCCCGGGGAGGGGCTGGGCTGGGCAGGGCAGGGGGTGGCTTTCCTTCCAGAGAGCCCCGCGGGGCCGGACGCCTTTGACTACTTCCAGCCGCCTGGAGCTGCGGGTCTCGGTTACCTCAGCTAATTCGTTGCTGTCCATGAGTCCCTCTCTGAGCGGGAACTTGAAAATGCGTGTTCAGGATGAAGCAGGCCACATTGGCTGTCTCTCGCTCTCCCTCTCCCTCCCCCCCCCCCGGGGGGGGGGGGGGGGGGCAATATGGCAGTCTCCAGAACCCTAACAACAGGGCTTTTCAGGGGGGGGGGAAATAGCAAAAAAAAACAAATTGGCAGAAAGGAAGAGTCCTCCAAGCTCACGCTCGTGGCAGGCGTGGCAGTCTGTGGAAAGTCGTCTTAGTGCATGTGCCGAAATGACCTTGAGAGCCTGTCCCGCATGGAAGCCAGCGGTGTCCCCCTTGGTGGTGGGGAAACTTTGGCTGCCTGGTTTTAATGCAAGTCAAGTCGTTGGGGGGGCCACCCTCCCCGTTCGTCTGCATGCTGGTGTTACGGAGGGGGGGGGTGATGGTCCTCCCGTCTTGGAGCTGCTGTGGGGCAAGCGGGGCCTTCCTGCTGGCTGGCACGCCAAAGCCTGGCTCTGCAAAGATGGGCATAGACGGACCGTCTGTTTTTTAAACAAAGTGCCATAAAATATGGCTTCGAATCCAGGAGGTCTGAGGTTGACAGTGCTTTACAGCAGTTTTTATCATCGTGGAATGCACCATAGTTTGCTAGTTAATGTTTGCATGGGTCTGACTCTGTAGTACGTTTTCTTTTGTCCTTGAGAGGGTTTTTGTGCATGGTACTCTTTGTCTGTTCCTTGGATGTCTTTTGACTCAAGCGGCGTTCCCTCCGAAAGAACTAAAACGTGAACTCTCTTACACTTAGCTGTCCCTCCTCCCACCGATCTCCGTTTCACCAACGTGCGACCCGATACAATGAGAGTGACTTGGACTCCCGCAGCGTCCATTGAACTGACCAGCTTCCTCGTGCGTTACTCACCCGTGAAGAATGAGGAGGACGTTGCAGAACTGAGCATCTCGCCTTCAGACAATGCCGTGGTTTTGACAAGTAAGGATCTGCCCGCGTGGGGGGTTCAGTGGTGCGTGAGATGTTTTCTACCGGGGGGGCGGGGGCGGCAGGTTTGCGTTTGTGTCCCTCCTCCTCTTGTGTTTTCCTTTTGTGTATCGCGTCGTCGTCGTCTCCTGTTTTGCTTTCTTGTTTTTCCTGCCGCCTTCCCTCTTGTCTCGCGCCAAGGGACGGGCTCCTCCTCCGCCGTTCACAAAGTGTCATTTCGAGGGCATGGAGCCATTTCATTCTCACTTCTAGTATCAAGCAACAAATTACATTGCGGATGCTCCACAGAAGCACTTAAAATGCCCTTGAGGGTCTCATTATTGTCAAGGCCCGAGCACTTTGATAAAGGCCTCCTTCCCCCCCCCCCCCCCCCGGAAAGCGATAAGAACCACCCCCCACGCGGTAACAGTCCGTGGAGACCCGGGCGCGCCCACCCCCCCCCCCCCGGTCCATAGCAGACAGTGGGATTCCTTCATGTCCTCGTGGCGTTGCCATTTCACCTTTTGGGACGAAGAAAATGGTGGAAGGGGAAATAAATCCGGGTTTGTGGGATAGGCCTTTTCTTCCAACTGAAGGGACCCACACAGCCTCTTTTGGGGAACTGTGGTTTTTTGTTTTTGTTTTAAGTGTAAACCTCCTCCTCACTTCAGGTTATTTTTATGGCAGAAAGTGTAAAGGGTTTGGGGTTTGCTTCCATGAGGTAAATTTTGTGGTGAGCGAGCAGAACATCCGCATGGCTGTTTTTCCACGCAGGGCGGGGACAGCCCCTTGTCCTTCACACCTTGCAATGGGCAGGGTCGGAATCTCCTCCTCGCTTTCCATGAGCTGAGTGTGTGTGTGTGTGGGGGGGAAGAATAAAATAAGGACCGGAAGGGTGTCGATGTCACGGGGGAAATGGAATGTGGGGTGGTGCCACAGTGGGGGTCGGGTTTGCTTGCGCCTGACAACACAAAGCCAGACCGTCTCACAGAGATGGGGAAAGGAGGAACAGAAGAGCGAGAGAGCAGGGAGAGGAAGCTCACAGGAGGAGGAGGAGGAGGAGGGAGAGTCGTCCTACGGAAGCCGTCTCACTGGGAGCAGAGCCGATCGTGCCCTTTGGAAAAAATGAACTTAAACCAAAAAAGAAAAAGAAAAAGGGCACACAACAGGACCCGTTCAACTGGAGTAACACTCAGGAGTCTGTGAAGGCTCCTGGTTTAGAGCCAGCTACTTGCTTGCTAAGCAGAAACTGTCCATTTTGGCTAAGGGATTCTGCCAGCTCAGAAGCTCAGATGTCCCGTGTCCTTAGGAGTTCTGTTCACAGAGATCGTCAGTGTTTGCTTTTTTAACCCTCCAGACCTCCTGCCAGGCACGGTGTACTTAATCCGGGTCTACAGTGTCTACGAACAACATGAGAGTAAACCTCTGAGTGGAGAGCAGAGAACAGGTAGGTGGAGCGACAAACGCTGGAACTCTTTTCGCCTCCCTTAAACACCAGGACAGACCTGCATTCATGGGACATGTGTTGATTTCCTTTGGTTCTACTCTGCCTTTTCCTCCAGTGGGGCCCAACACAACGTACACCATTCTTCAGGTGTGTCGCCGTGGTGGTCTGAAGAAGCAACAGAACAACGCCTTTCAGGCCAACAAAGTGTAACTCTGGGTGTCAGCTTTTGTGTGCACGCACGCACCCGTCTTGGGATACATCGCCTGTGGCTGGAGAAGGGTGCCTGCACACAAAAGCTGGTACCCAGAATTAAACTTCATACATCATTCTTCATCGCTCTTCTCACCTCCATTCTGTTCTCACAACCACACTGGTGTCGGTTAGGCTTTGACTCTCCTGCCTGCTGTCTTTGCAAACCACTCTCTGCGTTTTTATGGTAGCTGATGTTTTGGGCAGTTTCCTGTTAGCGCTTCTTCCTGAATCTGCGATCCCGGTCTTGTTGCCTCATTTGTAATCAGAGCCCCCCCCCCGTGGGGGGGGTGTAGCGGGCAGAAGAGTCACAGCCTGTAGGGTCCAGGAGGCCTCGAGCTGAACCCCCACAATCCACCTGGGAAGCTTCCCGGAGCCAGTCGCAGGCTCTCAGCCAAACCCACCTCGCAGGGTTGTAGTGAGGATAAAACGGAGGGGAAGAGAACAGTGTAGAGGCAGCTCTTGGGTCCCCACTCTGGCGAGAGAGGAAAGAATAAATTGAAAAAAAAGAACATCTCATGCTGTCTCATTGTAAATAGTCTGCCTTGAGACTTCGTGAGAGAGGCCGGCTGTAAAGGAGGCCAACCGACAAAGACCAACAAAGTTTAATTTGTGTGCAGAGGCGCACACTCATACCCGGAATTAAACTGTGTTGGTCTTACAGGTGCCTGGCTGGACTCAGACTTTGTTCTGTTGCTTCAGACCAACATGGCGACCCACCTGGATCTATATTCTAATCGTCGTATCGATGTACATCATCCTTTTTTCCTTTCAAAAGACATTTCCCAGTTGTCCACTTGAAGTAAATCTGCATTTTCTTTGACAAACAGGGCTCGATTCCCCGACTGGGCTTGACTTTTCCGAAATAACGGCCCATTCCTTCACGGTCCACTGGATTGCTCCCCGCGCTGCCATCACTGGCTACAAAATACGGCATTCCCTCGAGCAAGGCGGAAGCCGGCCCAAAGAAGTCCGCATTGCCCCGTCTCGTAACTCCATCACTCTTACGGACCTGATTCCGGGGTCCGAGTACGTGGTTAGCATTTCCGCATTCAACGGCAAAGAAGAAAGCGCGCCCCTGACTGGACAGCAAAGTACAGGTGAGAGCTGGACAGATCGCGTGCCAGCCTTCCGTGGGCTTTGTGTGGAGTCCTCTCCCTCCCGAGGGCTGCTGGGAGAGGGGTTAGGGTTAGGGGAGGCAGTCGTGCCGGTGGGGGAAGGGGCGACCCTCGTTTGTCGTTTCGCTCTGGCCTGGGGCCTTCCCAGGGCTGAATTGTGCTTCCGTCCCAACCGGGTGGGCTTGTGGCAGACACAGGGGCACGGAGGAGGTGGGCTTCAACCCCATACCTGGCAGGGGACGACATCCCTGAGGCTGGTTTCCCACCCGTCACGCAGGAGGTGACCGTGATGCATCGGGTAGGGCTCTGGGGAGGCCGAGTGAGGCAAGGAGACACCTGCCAAGGGTCATCGTGGAGTTGAGATCTCAGACACAGGCTCATCTTGGGATAGTTGGCAAAAGCGGTCTAAATGCTTCGCTGGCTGTGCATTATGTGTCGTGCGGCAGATGAAATGTGGGCGGGGCAGCCTTGACTCTGCCTGAACTCTTCTTTTCAGTCTCTGACGTCCCAGGAGACCTGCAGGTCACTTCCGCCAGCCCGACCAGCCTGGTCATCTCCTGGGATGCTCCGGCTGTGACCGTTCGATACTACAGGATAACGTACGGAGAGACAGGTTAGCACTGCGTGACATCACTGTGAGGAATGCCGGGATTTTGAAAAGCTCTTTGGCGGGATCTCAAACCAGGGGTTGGAGGAGTTTATGCCGTGGCTGTGGGATCTGTGATACAGATACCCAATCACTTGCCTCGGTTTTTAAATTTCAACCCCCACCCCACCCCACCCCCCGGTAGTTTGCCCTCATCATCAGGGCTGTTTTGCAGTGGTTTGGGCGACCAGGAAGGGACCCTTGGCGGTCACCGTGGAGGAGGGCGTTTGGCTTCCTCTGCCCGAACTCGGTCAGGTGTCCGGAGGCCCCCACTTCGGGTCCACCCTCTGCAGTCGGGTGTCGGCCTCAGAGGTGTGAGGCCTGCAGTTAGAGTAGCAAGTGTGAATGCGGCAAACGCACATCTGCAGTTGTGTGTCTCATGCAAGCACATATGTGAGGGAGTCGCTCTGGTTGCCTGTTGAGCGCACACCGTGGGGCCAGATGGTCTGTTGGCCAGAGGTCTCGGACTTCTCCCTGACATTTTTTGAGAGCCAGTTTGGTCTCGTGGTTTAGTGCAGGCGGACTCTAATCTGGGACAACCGGGTTTGATTCCCCACTCCTCCTCCACTTGCACCTGGCTGGTGTGACCCTGGGCAAGCCCTAGTTCTGATAAGAGGTGTTCTTGAATAAAGAGCAGTTTCTGTCAGAGCTCTTTCAGCCCCACCCACCTCCCAGGGTGTCTGTCTGTTGTGGGGAGGGGGAAGGGAAAGGAGTTTGTGAGCCGCTCTGAGACTCCTTCGGGTAGTGAAGGGCCATGGGGTATAAATCCAATTTTTTCCCCCTTTTCGTCTTCTCCTTAAATGAAATGCAGCCCACCTAAGCTCTAAGCAGCAGCAGCAGAGGAAAGGCAAGAGTGGTGGGCCTTTCGCTCCTGGGTCCTTCCGCGCAAAGTAGCTCCCCTCCCCCCATACTGCTTTGCTCTGGGGGGGGGGTTCCTGTCCAGTCCAGGGATCCCCAGCCTTTTGGGGCACCTTTGGCCTCCTGGCACTCAGGGCGAGGGGGGGGGCAAAGGCCCAAAATGGCCCTCAGCGGAGGCGGAGGCAGCTGCAAAGCGTCGGGGAGCAGGGGCTACGTGTAACATGAATAGGAACTCTTCAGCATTTCAGGCACAAGGTCTGTCTGACAGGATGCTTCTTAAAATGAACATCCTTTAAAAAAAATATGGCCTTGCCTCTATGCGCAGAGCCCACTTTCAGTCATTTGCAGGAGACCCTGGTGCTGGGCTGCCGGCTGCTCCCGAAGCAACATTCTGGGAGCTCTGCTCAGCCCGGCAGGTCTCCGGGGGCCCACCAGGAGCCACCCGGCTCTGCCCGCTCTCTGAAAACGCTCGGCCGGGGCCGGGGGAGGTGTTGGCGGGACCCCTGCCCTAGTAGCCAGCAGTGCCGTCCCAAGCAGAGCGTGCCCCTCCTCCTCCTCCTCCTCCTCCTTCTCCGCCTTCGACCTGGAAGGGTGTCTGCTCCACTTGGGACTGCCCCCCGTGTTTGGGGTTCCCCCCAGAGCTCTGTGCAGCAGGCAGTGCAGAGTCCTCGATCGGCTGCACGAGGCGCGCAGGAGCCCTTCCTTCAGGTCACGCCGCGGAGGGGAGCCAAAGAAGGATAATGGGTGTCATGGTGAGGGTGGGTGCCAGCGCTCAGGAGAACTTCTTCTGGGTAGGCAGTGGCATCGGAGGCACCCGGCGGTTTCAGATTCCAAATCCTGGGGATTTTTTTGGGGGGGGGGGGTTAGCTGCCTATCTGTTCGATCCGTCACACCGAAGCCTGACCCCCCCACGAGCCCTGGGCCAGCCTGTCCTGTGCTTCCTGTGTTGCGACGTTCCCAGGAGGCAGCGGCCCTGTCCAGGAGTTCACGGTGCCCGGCCACCTGTCCACGGCGACCATCCCCGGCCTGAAGCCCGGAGCGGAGTACACCATCACGGTCTACGCCGTCACCGGCCGTGGAGACAGCCCGGCCAGCAGCAAGCCAGTCACCGTCAGCTACAAGATGGGTGAGCCTCGAGCCAGCGGGCCCTTTCCCCGTTGCTGCTGCGCCTCCTGCTGCCTCGCAGGGGCTGCTCTCTTGGGCGGGGGGGGGCCTTCCTTCCGCAAGGGGGTCTCGGCCTGCTCTTCTCTGTCGGTCCTCGCTCGGGGCCACTTTCTGATTCCAGCGCTCTTGCCCAGTTGCCTCCCCGGTGGTGTTTATTTCACTTTGTGTCTCATCTGGTGTTTCCTAGTTCCTTTTATTCTTGTCGTGGCCTCTTAAGGCAGTGCTCCGCTTTGCTGCCGGTGCCTTTATGGACAGGTTCCAGTCGAGTTGGGTTCCGATTTCCCAGCACCTCCCTGGATCCTGGCCTTGTTGGGCTCGGGCACAGGACAGCGGGAGGGGCCATTAGCAGTGCTAAAAGCTAAAAGAGAACTAAGCAAAATCATGGAAATATAAATCATAGAATCATAGAACGTGAGAGTTGGAAGGGACCTTGCAGGTCATCTAGTCCAACCCCCTGTACTCTGCAACAGACCCGGAAGAGGGTCGTCCAGCCTCCGCTTGGAAACGTCCAGCAAAGGAGCCTCCACCACCTCCCGAGGGGCAGACTGTTCCACTGCTCAACCACTCTGACAGTCAGGACGTTTCTCATGATATTTAGCAGGTATCGACTCCCTTGTCATTTCCACCCCTTAGATCTAGTCTTGCAATCCGGAGCAAGAGAGAATAGATCTGCTCCATCTTCTACATAACAGCTCTAAGCTAATATAAAGCTCTAAGCTGTGGAGTCTTGTGAGCGAAAATTCTACTGTGTGAGCTCCTGGCATTAAAGTTGTGAGCGAGCGATCTGGCTGCTGTATAGGTTAGTTTGTTCTGGAGCCCCATCCTTTCTGAGCTAGGATAAAAATGTGTGAGCCGGAGGCTTAAAAACTGTGAGCTGGCTCACACTTAACTCAGCTTAGAGGGAACACTGGCCATGCGACTCACAGCAGACGGGTGAATCGACTGAGAGCGGGGGCTTCTGACCCCCCTCCCCCTCTGAAGAATTGCGGCACAGCGCCAAAGGGAGAGGAGAAAGAGATGCTTTCGTTTCCCTGCCCTCCAAGTTGGGGGGAGAGGAGAGGCAGGATGCAGCGCTGCCTGATCCTCCCCCCTTAGGAACAACTTTGCTTGGTGCAGAGGAGCAAAGGGCCCCCCCAGCAGCAGCAGCAGCAGCAGGCCAGAAGCTGCCTCCCAGCCTGATCCCTCTGATGCGGGGACCTGGGGGTCCTGGTGCCTGCTCCCGAGTAGCCTGCTCCTGAGCACAAAGGCACAGGTTGCCCGCCTGTCGGTGAAATGGCCGCCCGCTTGCCCACTACGGGTGAATTTATTTTATTTTATTAGATGTCTACCCCGCCCTTCCCGCCGTAGCAGGCTCGTGGTAGCTGACACAAACACCGTGCAGCTAAAACAGAACTAAGTAAATTCATGAAAATGTAAATGTAAAACATTCCAAAGTGCTGGTGCTAAAAAGAGGATGTGAGTCGAACCAGCAGACCTCTGAGAGTCCCCCGGCTCTCCCTTCGTGGCGAGGGGGGGGGGGGAGGCAGGGGGGGGGGGGGGGGGGGGCAGCAGGGCTGAATGGATCGGAGCTGGCTCAGCCACAGACTCTCTTGGCAATGCCCAGAAAGGGGGCAAAGGAGATGTTACGGGGGTGAGGCAGGAGGGGGAGGGTCACCCTCTTCACCCCACGCCTTTCCCCGCCTCTAGGCTGGCAGGGTGGACGAGACCTGGAGTATTTTTAAGGGAACCAGCAGCTGTCCTTGGGTCTGGGATCCCGGAAAGCTGCCAAATTCCAGATAAACAAGACACACACACACACACGCACACACACACACGCTGTCCGGACCTGGGTTGGCACTTTGTGTTGGATTGTGTTTGAATTGTTTTAAGGGCTCGTGCTGCTGGTTGCCTGAAGCCCCGTGGGGATAGGCAGGCTGTGAGCGTGTTAAGAGTAAATGTGATTCTGGATGTTGTGTTTGTCATGAGAAGGAGGTGATGCAGGGTAACGGAAGGATCTAAACTCTGCAATATGCCACTTTTGGCTTCCCGCGTGCAGAGATCGGCACCCCGTCCCAGCTGCAGGTGGTCGAGGTCCAGGACAGCAGCCTCACCGTCCGGTGGCAGCCCCCCTCCTCCCCCGTCTCCGGCTACCGAGTCACTGCGGCCCCCAAGAACGGCCACGGCCCCACGAAAACCAAAGTCCTCTCTGCAGGTAAAAGGGGCTTGGCTTGGTTTCGGGGGGGGGCGCAACCGTTGTAATCTCTCTCAGTGCCCCCCCTCCCCCCCGGGTGGTTTGTTTTGTTGGAAGCAGGGAAAGGAGCCAGCCCTCCCTCCCTTGCCTCTCTGCATGTGGGGGAAACAGTCTCTTCCCTGGGCTGCCTTCATTAGACACGTGGGATTGGGGGGGGGGGGTTTTTTGCTCCAAGACCAGCCTCTCTTCACAGTTGTTGTGGTTCATGGGTTCCACTCTTGGCAAGTGGGTGCTGAAGCCCCTCCAGTGCACAACGTACTCTGCTGAAACCATCTCTAGACCAAAGAGTTTCCGCATCTTGTGCTCTTGAGCATTTGTAGGCCTAAATAATTCCAGGCACCTCAACAAGGTAGAGCAAATGGCTTTGCTACGGGAGCTGTCCCAAAATGACGTTCTTTCCTGATGGGTCTTTTTGTCGGCATTTTGTTGCAGATCTCACCGAAGTCACCATTGAAGGGCTGCAGCCCACCGTTGAGTACGTGGTGAGCGTCTACGCCCAGGGTCAAGACGGAGAAAGCCAGCCGCTGGTGGAGACGGCCGTGACAAGTATGTGACTCGGCCCGTCCTGAGTTTCAAGGCAGGAATCGGGTGTCTCCTCAGGCGCGTTTTGCTTCCCGAACACTCCTGACACGGCCGGAAGGAAGCGGCATCGTTCCTCCCTCATAAGTCCCGGAGAGGCTGCCAAAACCCCACCCCGCTCCTCCACACACAGATCCACGCACACACAAACACCAGAACCTGCGCTTTGGGTTTCAGCATCAGTGGCCAGCAGGAAGGGAAATCGTAGTGGCCTTTGGTCAATCTGTGGACCCCTGGGGCTTGGAAAGGGCCCCTTTTCTATGGGAAGGTAGCAAAGGTGATTTGACCCTTGGGCCGGAGAGGCCATTCTGAGGAGGAGGAGCCGCCGCCGCCTCTGGCGGGCAGGGCTGCCATGTTCCTCTCAGCAGCCTGTTGGGAGGGAGAAGGAGGAAGGAGGATGAAACTCCGTCGCTCCAGCCCACCATGCCTGCCTGGCCTTCTGCGTGGGGCAAGGGATAGGAGAGCGGCTGGATCAGACCCCCCCCCAAGTCCCTCCCCGCCCAGCCTCCTCTTTCAGCAGCAGCAACCCAGACCGGTGAGCCTGCTGTCGGGGGAAGGGGCCTGTGCTGCGCCTGGCCCCTCCTCCCCTGTTACCACCACCACGCGCCCCCCACCCTCCCAGTGGAGACGGGATCGGGCGGGGGCCCAGCAGCTCTCCCCTGACGCTGCTCCTGTGTCGGGAAGCACCACCCTCCCTCTGGAAGCGTGCAGAAGACACTGGGGACTGAAAGAGACACAGAGCGGCCGACCCAGAGCCCAAACAGTGTAGCGTACAATAAATCACCTTTTTTACCTTGGAAGACATAGAAACACGCAGCTAACCCGCACCCTGCGATCAGTCCTGGCAAATCTGAGCCGTCCCTTGAACCTTGTGAGGGAAATCCGTGGGTCGTGGAGACTGGCTGGCCGGTCAATATTAATGCAGGGGCCTGCTCCAAATGAGGGCGTCCTGGGGCTTGCTTCCAAGTAGACATGCGCAGGATTGCAGCACTCGCTTTACTGACGAGGTTCAACCGGACTCTGACTGATCGCCATTGCCTTAAGATTCGCTTGCAAAATAGTTAGATGCCCAGAAGGCTTCATGCAAGTCACTTGTGAAACATCTGGAGGAAGAGGAGGCAGATGTGTGAACTGCTTTGGGAGCTCACACACACATGCCTGCCAGAGCCGCTCGGCTGGCCATCCAAAGTGACCCTTCCGACAGGTGCTTCTCAGGCATGAAGCGACTTGCCTTTGTGCTTACACAGTAACACAAAGACAAACCGGCCTTCCAGTTTGCCAAAAGGCACCTTTAATTTGGGCTTGATACAGCCTTACGCCTATGCCGTAGAAGTAATTTTCAGAAGCAATGTTTTGTCAGATGATTGATGTAAACATTAATTGGGAAGAAGGAAATAGCTGCCCCGATGCCTTTTGCTGCCAAATAACAGCTCTGCAATCCTCTGATGACGTCGAGGCTCTCGTTAAACACAGTCCCTCAATCAGGTGGGGGGCTCTGGGGGGGCCAAATTGGCTTCTGGCCCACGGGAGCGGGGGGGGAGCATTTCCCAGCGAGGGGAGCTGCTGGACAGTCCCGGCCTGCCCTCCTGGAGATCCGAGCGAAGCCTCGTCTCGGACGGGATCCCGCTGCCTGCTTATCAGCCCGTCCCGTCCCACAGCCTTTCCCGAACCGCTCCGGTTCCGGGACACGCGTGTGCGTTCTCTGGCCAAGCCACCTTGTGGCGGGCAGTCACAGCATGAGCCTCACTGTTGGGCACCCCCCACTGCATTGCTGTAAAGGTCCGCAGGAGGCTCTGGGGCAGCTAGAACCCCCTCCCCTGTTTCTGAATATGCTGGAGATTGCTTTGCATGCCCCTTTGCCAAGTGCTGTGTCTCACCGCAATGCCTGCTTTCCCCCCCTTTCCACATAACCTCTCACCGTTAATTTGCCTAACAGACATTGATCGGCCTAGAGGATTGACATTCACCGATGTGGATGTTGATTCCATCAAAATTGCTTGGGAAAGCCCACAGGGGCAAGTCAGCAGGTACAGGGTGACCTACTCTACCCCGGAGGACGGAACCCTCGAGCTCTTCCCGGCCCCAGACGGTGAAGACGACACCGCGGAGCTGCGTGGCCTCCGGCCCGGCTCCGAGTACACGGTCCGCATCGTGGCCTTGCATGACGCGCTGGAGAGCCCGCCCCTGGTCGGAACCCAGTCCACAGGTACACGCCCCCCGCGGGCCTCTGGCCACCGCCCTCCCGGTGGCTCACCCGGGGGAAAGACCCAGAGCAAGGGGCGAGTGCGGGGGGGGGGTTTGGCGCTAGCAGCGGGGGTCGCCTTGTGTGTGAAAGATGAGTCCCATACCAGGAACAAAACTGTGCTGGTCCTCAAGGAGCCCCGGGACTCGAGCTCTGTTCTGCTGCTTCAGAGCAGCACGGCTGCCCACCCAGAGCTGCCCGTAGTGCCTGTGCCGCTCCTTGAAGGCTTGGTGAATCTCACGCCCCGTGCAGAGCTTAGCCGCTGCAAGCCACAGATTTGTTGGTGTTGGGGGTGCCGTGGTCCATCCGTTCCACGTCCAGTTGCAAAATGCTGGGGAGAAACAGTTTGTTCACAATCCAGTGAGGAGGCTGCGATACAGAAGGTTGCTGGTATTGCCACGAGATCAAGAAACAGTCTCTTGCCCTGACCGGGATCTAGCCCAGGAGGCCAGCCGGATCTCGACAGATCTCGGAAGCTGAGCAGGGCCGACCCTGGCAAGGACTTGAGAGGGGAGACCTCCAAGGAATACCGGGGCTGGGAGGCAGAGGCAGGCCATCAAAGTGCTTCTCTGAGCCTCCTCCGTGCCCCAGTGGGAGTCGCTGGAGGTCACCATGACTCCCAGGCACAGGCACAGGCGCTCTCTCTCTCTCGCACACACACACATGCAAACATTCCAAAAAAGAAAAGAAATAGCTCCTTGAGCCCAGATCTCTGGGTTCCAGTCCATCCCCCGTTGGTTTGGCTGCAAGAGAACCCCAGACAGGGCGGCTCAGGGGGGACTCCCCTCCTCCTCAGGGCCCTGCCGCCATCCAACGGCTTCTGTTTCCGTCTCTCCTTCCAGGTGCCTGGCCTTGGGGGCCTTTTGCCTCTCCTGGCTGAGGTGGCCCCGGCCACTGGGGGAGACACTCGTACTCTTTCTGCTCACACCGCACGGCATGGGGTCAAGAGACCTGGGCAGGGCAGGGCTCTCTGGGCGTTCCACCTTTGGGACTTTTTAAAGAGACCGTTTAAGACTCTGCCTTGAACCACAAAGGGAGTCAGTCGATGAATCGTAAAGCCTGACCATGTTGTGTTTGGAACCCATCCGCTTCAGGACAGGCATGTTTTGTGATTTTTGACAAGGGCGGCCTCTTCCTCCCTACTCGGCTGCTCGTGGTGGGCGACCCATCTCCGCTTTGTGGGCGAGGACGGCTGGTCTTTTGGAAAGAAGGCTGGGCCGAGGTTACTGGGCTTGGGGGCCTCTCCAGTTCTCCTCCTCAAAGCAGCCTCCTTCCTGCCTGTGAACGTTTTCGCCTGGGCCAGCCGGGTGAAGGCAGGTGGGACCACATCCCGTCCTGGAGATGAAAAGCCTTCAGTCCTCCCGGCTTCAGAGGGAGCAAGAGGTTTGGAGGTTGGAAGCAGGATGCTGCTGCTGCTGCTGCCACCCAGAGCCAGGCGTTCAGATCGTCAACCCCCCCCCGCAGGATAGCCACAATCATCTGTAGCCAGGCAGGACCTGCATAGATGCGGCACTCGGCGTGGCTGAATGCCAACCTCGCTGCGCAGCTCCTCGGAAGATCAGAACACTTTTGTCTGTTGTCTGTAGGGGTACGACTTGCTGGCCCTTCGGCAGCTGGGTGCCAATTTGCCCCCCCCCACTCGCAGTCCTTCGCAAGGCTTCACCCGCGGTTGGCCCTGGCTGCCGAAGGGCGTCTGCTTCCTAAAAGGGCAAGATTTAGGCCCGTAGCCAGGATTGTTTAAGTCAGGGGGCATTTAAATTCCTTCGGGGGCACTGGCTAGTCGAATTAAAGGAATGCCCGGTTCCTTCCCTCCACCTGCCGCTGCTCAGGGCCCCCCGGGCTGGATGGGAAGTCAGGGGGCCTTGCCAGTGAGGGGGGGCTAGCCCTGAGATGCCCCCCCCCCACCGGTAGCTACAGGCATGGCAAGATTTGAGTCCAGCAGTATCTTAAAGACCGACCAACTTTTCCTCCGCCGGAGGAAGGGAGCTTTTTGACTCAGGAAAACTTTGGCCCTGGAAACCTTAGAAGGTGCTGTCGAACTCTAATCTTGGGCTGCTGCTGCTGCTGCTGGAGGCCAGGACGGTCACCCACCGGAAACTGAGGAGCTGCATTCTGCAGGGAGATCCCTTCTGGAATCTCTAAGGCTTTGGAAAGGTGCTAGGCTGTTTCCCCGCCACCCAGACACAAACCAGGCAGGTGCTCCAGAAGGACAAAGGCGAATGGGCAGCATTTCTTGCACCTTCCGTCTCCTCAGTGGAGGCTCTGCAGTGACTCAGAGGCTGGCTGGCTGGGACCAGGGGCTACTTCCAGGACAGTTGTGATCTTAAAGGCCCTTCTCAATTTCACAGCCATCCCGCCTCCAACGAATCTGAAGTTCATTCAGGTCACTCCAACCAGCCTGACGGTGACCTGGGTGGCGCCAAACGTCCGGCTGACCGGATACCGGCTCCGAGTGAATCCCCAGGAGAAGAACGGGCCCATGAAGGAAATCCACCTCTCTCCAGACAGCACCTCTGCCGTCGTCTCCGGACTCATGGTCAGTCTTCCCCTTTGTCTGGGGCTGGGCTGGGCAGGCCGGAGGGAGGGTTGAAGCCCTCGAAAAGGCAGATTCTCACCCCATGGGAACTCACCTGCACTACTAGATAAAGATTTAGATGGCCCCAGAATCTGCCTCAAAAGCAAGAACATCAGGAGAGCCCTGCTGGATCAGAGCAGTGAGGGTCCACCTGGTCCAGCATCCTGTTTCACACAGCAGCCAGCCAGTGTTCCCTCTAAGCAGAGCTAGTGTGAGCTAACTCACGGTTTTTTAGCCTCCGGCTCACACGTTTTTGTCTCCGCTCAGGAAGGATGGCTCCAGAGCAAACAAACTTATGCAGTAACCAAATCGCTTTGCTCAGAACTTTCATGCCAGTAGCTCACAAAGTAGAATTTTGCTCACAAGACTCCATAGCTTAGAGGGAGCATTGCAGCCAACCAGTTCCTCTGGACAGCAGCTAGCAACAGGGCATTGAGGCCAGGGCCTTCCCCTGGTGTTGCCTCCTGGTTCGTGGGTTTCAGAGGATTAGTTTTGCGTAGATTGCACGTTCTGGTTATGTTTTGATTATGTTTGTTTGGTGATCTATGTTACTGAATTGTCTTGTAAATTACTCCAGCGTAAGATACAACAGGAAATGGGAGCATTTCCTTCTAACTGTGTTCCAGAAGTCTTCTTGCTAATGTCTGTGCTGAGAAGTAAATGCTTCATACTGTTAACAGTATCCAGAACGTAAGCAATGAGCAGGCCAGTTGAAGTGGCCGATGTCTCCTTCTGGGAGACATAAATCTGATGCTTCCTGGTTTCACGTCTTCTAGATGGCGACCAAATACGAAGTCAACGTCTATGCCCTGAAAGACTCTCTGACCAGCAGACCTGTCCAGGGGGTCGTCACTACCCTAGAGAGTAAGCCGCCCTCTATCGTAAACTATCCCAACAGGCTCTGAGGCAGCAGGGGTGGGGAAACCTGGGGAAGGCCCGGTTGGAATCCGTAGACCAAGCCCTGGACGAGGACGGTGGAGGTGGAGGTCCTCCTGGGTGCAGCTGCTGGGGTGTAGCTCTGCAGTGGCCAACCTGGGCTGGAACCTTTCGGTAAGTCCTTCGTCTTGTGACTGTGGGTGAACGCTGCCCCTCTCTTCTGCAGACGTCAGTCCTCCTCGCAGGCCACGGGTGACCGACGTCACCGAGAGAACCGTCACCATCACGTGGCGCACCAAGACCGAGACCATCACTGGCTTTCAGATCGACGCCATCCCCGCAAGCGGCCAGAACCCCGTCCAGAGGACCATTAGCCCTGACGTCAGGAGCTACACCATCACTGGTACGTGAGCACCCGGGCCCCGCCGTGCAGAGAGCTCAAGATACTTGGCAGGGAAGATGCCGGGGGATGGAAACAACAGCCTGCCACACAGGGGTTGGGGCTCAACTGGACTGCTTTTGGGGGTGCCCCCTTTTGGTTACGTTTTTGGGAGAAGGGTACCAGTCGAGTGGAGGCGGTTCTGAGAAAAGCAGGTGCCGCGGTAGAAGCGTTGGGGCCGACCTGTGGGGCTCTCGGGGCCCTCCTGCCTACCGTTGCAGGTCTGGGGGTTGTGGCAATGGGTGGGCGACTTCGCCGAGGGCGGCTTTCCCCGCCCATCCCGTGGGGCTCCTGCAGTGGGAGAAGCACCAGCTAGGGTGGCGCATTCTACCTTCTGGGCTCCTGCAGTGGCTTCCTGGGTCACCCCAGCCTGGGCACGGCTGGCGCTTCTGTCTGCTTCCTGCGCCCCGTTATTCCTGGGGTCCCTTCTCCACCCTTCTGTCCTCACAGCCTCCCTCCCCAACCTCACCCTCGTGAGATGTAGAAGGCATCTCCTCCGTCTGCTCGTGAGCCGGCCTTCCTCTCCCCGACTTCCTCTCTGCCAGCAGCACTTTGTCCTCGGTGTGAGAGCGGCCCCTGCCTCTCCGGTGTCCCAAGTCCTTGCGGCCTTCTCTTCCTGCCCATGCCGCGGGCATCACCCCACCTTTCCCGCTGGGAGTGGGATGGCACGCCTGCCTCTCTTTCCCCGCGGGCAGCAGTCCCACCAGGGGTCCCACAGGGGGAGGCCCCCGCCGGCTGTCTGAGGGGCCGCGGGGCAGGATGGGCTGTGCTCGCCAGGGGAGCCGCTGGCCTGACGTCCCTTCCGGCTTTGTTTTGCACGGCAGGCTTGCAGCCAGGCACGGACTACAAGATCTACATCTACGCCTTGAACGACAACGCTCGCAGCTCCCCGGCGGTGGTGGATGCTTCCACTGGTAAGGACTCTGACTCTGAGGCAGTTTGGTGCCGTGGTTAGGAGTGCGGACCCTGATCTGGGAGAGCCGGGTTTGATTCCCCCACTCCCCTCCACTTGCACCTGGCTGGTGTGGCCTTGCGTCGGTCACAAGTTCTTTCAGAGCTGTTCTCTCAAGGGCAGTCCTCAAAAGAGCTCTCTCAGCCCCACCCACCTCTCAGGGTGTCTGTCTCTTGTGGGGAGGGGAAGGGAAAGGAGTCTGTGGGCCGCTCTGAGACTCCCTTGGGTAGTGAAGGGCCATGGGGTATGAATCCACTCTTTCTCTGCTTCTTCCTCTGCTGCTGCTTCTTCACTGAAACAATGATTTCCTTTCCATTGATTATTTAGATCACTTATAGCTTTTCACAGCCATCCTTTCCCCTTTGAGACCGAAGCATGAAGTGGCTGAAACGTGCAGAAACGCTTTTTTCCCCTCTGGGGATACGACGGATGTCTTGGCAGACGTTTGTTCAAGTGCTTTTGTTTCTCCTCAGCCATTGATGCGCCGTCCAACTTGCGCTTCCTGACGACCACCAGCAACTCCCTGCTGCTCACTTGGCAGGCCCCCCGGGCCAAGATCACGGGGTACATCATCCGATACGAGGCCCCCGGCGGGCAACCCAGGGAGCTGCTCCCCCGCCCCCGCCCCGGCACCACGGAGGCCACAATCACGGGTAGGTCCTTTGGGCCAGGGAGGGGCCGGGGCCTTGGCACAGAACGCACAGGAAGGTTCTGTTTATCTTCCAACGCGAAGAGCTCTTGAGCACTCTCTGGGGCGGCGACATCCCAGCAGGCCTTCAAGAAGTCACAAGAAATGTTCCTTCTACCCTGCGGAGGGCAGGGGGGTTGGACTAGATGACCTGCAAGGTCCCTTCCCACTCTGACATCCTATGATTCTATGCCTCTGAAGACCAGTTGCTGTGGCAAGGAGTGGGGCGGGGTGGGCATCTCGTGTCCGGGATATCCCCGAAGCCCCTGCCCGTCGCAAGGGGGAGGCTGGGCAACAGGGAACCTGTGGAGAGTCTGAAAAGGAGGCTTTTCTTACGCATTTACGGAGGGAAATCGTTATGCTGCCTTGCCTCAGTCTCGCTCAGGCAGTTTATGAGTAAACATGATACGATCCTGTCCTACAGTAACGATAGACTATCAGTATAAAACCAAAACAAGCTGGGAACATAAAAACGGCCCCCAGATTTCCATGAACCAGACTCACATCTGGAGGAGACGGCAGAAGAACTGATCGACCACCCCCATGAGGAGGAGCCTGGGTGAGGAGGCTTCGTTTGGCCTGATGCTGGAAAGCCAAGCCTACTTAGGCCAAGGGGGCTCCCTTTGCGCTGCGGGGGGCGGGGGCATTCCAGATAGGAAAAACGCCCTGCCCAACGGCCTCCCCTGCTGGCTTCCCTCCCGAAGGCAGGGGGGGCGGACACCAAGAGCAGCGGGGCTGGCTGGGGAGACACAGACCTTGACTGGCAGGCTGGGCGCAGGGTGGGTGGTGCCCTTCCTCCAGCGCCCCTGGCGCCCCGCCCCCTCCTGAGCCACGGAGGGCCTTTGAGGGGCAAGCGCTGTGAGTTGTGCCCTGAATGAAACAGGCGGGTGGCCCGGGCACCTCTTTCAGCACAGGAGGGTTATGAGCCCTGCCAGCGGCCCCCGGCAGGAGTCTGGGCACCGCCTTTTGGACCAGTCGGCATTTCCGGACAGCTTTCCAAGGCAGCCCTGCACAGAGTGTGTCACGGTGATGTCATCCGGATGTGATCAGAGCCCAGAACGCTGTGGCCAGATCGCCCTTTTTGAGGGACAGACAGAGCTGGTGCATTAGCCAAAGCTGGCAGGAGGGGCTACATGCCGTGGAGGAGACCCGAGCCTCCTGCGGTGGACCTGCTCCTGCAGGGGGAGGGCAGCTCTGCACCCAGGACAGGCTGTGGCTGCCAAGTCCCTGAGTGGCTTTGTCCTAGACCCACACCGAATGAGCAGCGGTGGATTGGCCCTCGACCATCCCATCCCCTCCTCTGGGACTTCCACAGACCTACCCAGTTCCCCTGTGAAGGAGTGGCAGAGCTGGGTGTCTGCCCTCTGCGCACGGCTGGCACCTTATGCCAAATCTCCAGGGGTCTCTCCTAGAGGTTTCACATAGAGCATGTTAAATAGCACAGGAATTGGCCCGTCATGGAAGAGTGGGACGACCCGAGCCTTCGGCCTGCCTCCTCCCAGCTGGGCCAGCCTCTCCGGAAGGATACCACCGTGGAGGGTCATCTTGGGTTCCAGTTAGAGTTTTACATGGTCTGGAGAACTCTTCCAAAGGAAAAGAACCCTAGAGCTGGAAGGGGCCTCCGGGGTCATCTAGGCCAACTCCCTGCACAAGGCAGGAGATAGGCACTCCTCACCCCCCCCC